GCCGGGGCTGCCCCGGGGCCGTGCCGTGCTGTCCCGCTCATTGTTCGGGAAGGGCAGCGGCGGGAGGGGCGGGCGCTGCGGCGGGTGGGGGTCACCCCGGCGGCGGGGGTAGCGCTGTGCTTTCCTCCGCATGGGCAGGGAGCAGCGTTGCATCTTCCCCACGTGGGGGGTGTGCGTGGGGCCGGCGACAGCGGGGCATCTTCCCCCGAGCCGGCGGGGACGGGGGATGCGCGGGGATGGGGCGCTGGCGCTGCGCTTTCCCCGCGGTGGCGTGGCGGGGCCGGGGGCGCGCTGCACCTTCAGGGGTCTGTGCTGGAGAAGTTCAAAGCGGCGGGGAAAGGTGGGAGGGGCGCGGGCGGGGGCCGGCAGTCTTCTCGCCTTGTCTCTGTTCCTCCCGCCTGCCCAACGCGGGGAGCGCCGGAGCGTTCCGGCACCGGGACCTCGGGGGGCCGCCCAGGAACGCGGGGTCTCTCTGTGGCCGGTCCGGCAAGTTGAAGGCATGGTCCTTTCCTCAGCCCTCCCCCGTGAGCCGGGCGGTGGGATTCCCGCACTCACGCGGTGTGGAAGCGCCGCAGCCGGCTTTGGCTCACTAAGATTAGGCTCCGTTAATTAAAGAAATATTTTAAGCTTAAAGGTCTCCTGAGAAGAAACACATTAACTCGCTAATAAAGCGGGTAGAAAAACAATGCGATACAGGGCTGTTGGATCAGCGATCACAAAGGAAAGGAGAGATCAGAGAGATGCTACCGGAGCTGCGGTAAATGCGCYCTCCCACCGCCGGACCCACACGGCACTGATCGCTCCGCTGGAACTTCCAGTGTCTGTCCAGCGGCACAGGAARCGGGAAATGTTTGCGGTGCAGTCGTTGCTGTCCTTTCTCAGCTTGCTGAACGGCTAGAAATACATCTACCACAACACCTTAAAGCATATTTTACTTTTGGTTCAAATTTAATAGTATCTTATTTTGCAAATAGTCCAAGGAAGTTGTCACTTACAAGTAATTAGGATAATGACAGATGACCCTTTTTTGTGCTGAATCTATGCTCCAAGATAAGCATCTGTGTAAATGCTTCCTAGACTGTACCTTCTTTGTGCCCATATTTGTAAGGTGTAAGCTGACCACAGCAGCATGCCTGCAAAAGGCACGCCTTCTAAGCTGTGAAATAAGCGTGAAAAGAAAAGCCATTAGAACTAAAGAAAAAAAGGTGCAATTTCCTATATTAAAAGGTAGCATCACAAGGATGTGAAAGACAAAGCACAATCAGCAATATGTTAACAGTTTAAAAAAACTATGATGGTTGTGATAACACCTACTGCCTAAAGCAAATAATATTTCTAAATTCTAGAGAAGTTCATCCACTTATTCCATTTTGGGAATTCCATTAATTGCGAAGCAATTAATGAATAAAAATAATGTATTTTCCCTCAGTCCAGGTCATCCTGAAACTTCAAAACCTAGAGCTAATTTCTTCAAAAATATAAAAGTCCTTATTTTCCAATGTATTAGGATAGGACGTCTTACAGACATAAAGACAACAAAAATTCTGTTGAGGGGCACTGTGATGTAGATCACAAATTATTTCTTTGGGAATCTGCTACTTGAGGAATAGTCCTGTACAGCATTAATTCTAACTTTATAAAGGAAATTAGCAGTTAAGGGATGGATATTTTCCCAGTTTGGTTTTAGTTTTTGTTCATTTGTTTGGGTTTTTTGGTTGGTTGGTTTGGGTTTTTTGTTTGTTTTTTTTTTTGTTGTTGTTTGTTTGTTTGTTTGTTTTTTGCCCAGACTTGCTGCATCTGCCTATAAAATGATATTATATTGTGTGCTGGCTCATTCAACAAACTATAAGCACATCTTTTAAGAAACAAAGTGAAAGGTGGATACTGCTTACTCAGTTTTTAAAAAATTGCATAATTAAAGTAGGAATCTAAATCTGTACAACTCTACAGACATATCCATCTGTTACTATTTAAAATGYGCTGTTCTTTAGAAGGTTCATTTCAATATACCAGTGAAATAGAACTTCAATTTGSAATAGAATGTAAATGAATAGCATAAATTGAGTATTTCAGGGAAGCTGATAATGCTAGGATATTCTATGTCGGTATCTGAGATGGTTTAAAAACGCAGTATTAGGAATGCTTGTCACCTGAAGACTCCCGTTTTTTCAGCAAAGCACTTACAGAATGGGCAGTTGGATTGGTAACAAATAATGCTGGATGAGCATAATTTTTATTGACTGCAGTGGGAGTCTCCCCTATGCATCTAAATGTAAAATTTATCTGCAGAAGGCAGGAGGAGTTAGACTGCAATCCAATAAGGTTTGCTTCAGCCTTTGACATTATGCTTTTGGCTTAGATTCTAAACTCCAAAATGGAAGAACTCTGCATCCTGTGTATTTCCGATCATTGGCCTGATTCTGCCTTCAATTTCTKCAGAGTAATAAAGAACAGCTTCTCTGGAAGCCAGAAAATGAATTGGGATAAGGTCTGTGAGATCAACATCAGGTCCCCATGATGTGGGAGCCACCTGGGGAAGGATTTGAGATCAGAGGACAAAGTAATTGCTGGCAAGCCCAGAATGGTAAAGAATTTACTTTCACATATTTGCAGCTTGAAGAATTTGTCTTTTATATAAATTGATAGCAAAAGGGTGAAGTTACACACAGTTGCTGTTGCTTTGTTATTGAGTTTGACGACCGGTATAGATGCATCTATCACTTTGTTTTGTTACTGTGTTAGTGCAGTGCATATAAATAAAGGGGATAAATAACCTAATTTACTATGAGCAAGAGTCACAGTATATTAAAAACAGTGACACAGAGAAAGCTTTYGCCTCTCCTGGAAAAAGTTTTATAACAGATCTTTGTAGTCATCATTTAAACTGGCAGGTACAGCACACAAAGATGCTTGGAGCCCAGGCACAAGCTTATTTAACCTTTTCAAAATATGTTCTTGGCTGATATGGCTCCACTGATGGAAATGGGAATTTTTCTATTGACTCTACCAAAACTCAGTTTCATTCAAGTAATTGCAATTTTATTTCAGGACCATTTTGGTTTTTAACAAGTAAGTGCTATTAAGATTACATGGATGAGCAAGGTCTGTGTATCCAGAGATTGTGCATCTCCCACTTCTCATGTTTCCCCGAGGTTTTTTCTGTTACTACTCCAAAAGGGGACATGTTAGGTGGGTTACCACTGTCTTTCTACAAACTCTCAAACAGCTTGTGGTAGTGTGTTTTCGCTCCTTGGGGCAGGGGAGGAAGGAACGTGCTTCAGACTGATCCCTTTAGCACCTCATGAGGTGGTGAATTTCCTGGCTCTCCAGCAGTGCTGCCTCTGGGTAAGGCTCTYCTGTCCTGGCATTCCTGTCCTGCTGCACCCAGAGGGACCTGCAGTTATCACACACCATGATTTTTGCTAGTGCARAACTGCATTTTGTTTCTAGCCAGCAAGCAGATTTTTAATAAGCTGGAGACACTGTTGCTGGCTTCTGCGCACATCAGATGTATTTCAGCGTTGCAGTTGTTCACTTGCCGATGTGGATTTGTAGGACTGGAGCCTACAGACCTCAATTAACAGCTCTCCCTTAGGAGAGAGAGTGGCCTGGTTTCTTTTTCTCATATCAGCTCATGGCAGATGATTGGCAGAATTGTCTCCTCTCCAGAGCAAGCTGTTTCTCTGCCCTTCAGAAACATCGTGACAAAATTCTCCCTGACTCAGTGGTGAGGGGGTTTAGTTTCAGATGTGTGTGTGCACATTTGGCTGCACTCACAAGGCTTGTTACATCCTTGCTGATGGATASCAGTGTGTGTGCAGAGAGTTTTTCCAAGGACTTTGCTTGCACAGAACTGACAGGGGAATAAAAAGGGCAGAGTGTTTGTCATCGTGGCATAGATCATGTCAGCAAGAATCCTGTGTGTGTCCTGTTGCATGTATGTCTGAAGAGCCAGCCCCGWTGCTGGCTAATGGTCATTGTGTCTTGGCATGGTGCAGCAGGACACAGAATGGAGTATGAATCCAGAGTCTGCCACAAAGTGTGAGCTACACCATCTCTGAAGCAGTCCTGGGACTCTAGGATATAATGGACACAATTTCTTTCTGGTTTTCTCTAGTCTTGAAGGAAGGTGGTAACTTGCTGCTGACCTGACCTGTATTAATAAGTAATTCTTATCCTTCAGTGCTGGCTCAGATGTGGAAGCAGATAACCAGAGTCAGAGCCTGCTCTTTCCTTTCCTCTCCCTCATATTTGCCTTAGGAAGGAAACAGGAACTTYCAAGTATATAGCATGAACTTTTAACAACACCTGTGCATTTATTCTCATGTACATCTAAGTCAGGTCTCTGACTTCTCCTCATCAAGAATTCAGTTTCATAAGAAACAGTAAAGAGCTGAAATGAAAAGACAAAGGTACCAGAGCTACCTTCATCTTGGGTTTTCTTGCCAGTGGTCACATTAGATGCCAGAAGTCATCCCCAAGCTCTGAAAAAGGGTGGACTTCAGCTATATTTGTAAATACAGGATCAGAACTTCAAGGTGAGCAGGGCTGGGAGCTCTGTCCTGTCCCCTCTGTTGCTCTGTCCCACTGAGCAGTCACTCAGCAGTCATYCT